AGGATGGATGATGTCTTGATGCAGCTGTTCGGAAGCAGCATCCTGCACGAGTGCCTGGTCGGCAACGATCAGAGCACGCAGCAGCAAGCAACCATTCCAACGCCCGTTCGCCAGGAGTGGATACGACTGTTCCGTCGAGAACCTCGAGTCCTTCCAGATCATCTGCCAGATTGTGGACAAAGCCACAAAGATGCTGGGCAGCAGCAGGTTTCGAAGCCATCGACTCTGATCCCTGCCTATAGCCGAGGCGAAACGGAGCTACGTACTCCCACTCGAGATGGTGCAGCTGGGGCCACTGCGCGAAAGCCTTCCGCAAGTATTACAGCTCGACTTTGCTTGCCGTCTTCTGGAGCTGCATGGAGGACGCAACATCTTCGTCCGTCTGTGATTTCGGAAGATGCATGTGTTGTCTTTGGTGCCTGGACAGGAAGGAATGAACCCCTTTGCGAAGTTCCAGCCGGACGAACGCGCGGAAGCCGGTCAGAAGTTCCACAGGGTACTCGATCTTTGCATTCGTGTGGCTGGGCGGAAATAAATTAGATGATTCCTAGTCTTGGGGCCGACCCCCTGGCCCATGAGCATCTACTTGGCACCCAGTTCGGGGTTTCGTGGTTTCTTTGCTCACCAACGAGGGTGCAGTGATCCTTCTTTATCTCGATGTAGTCTGGTGCTCCCCCCCCCCCACAGTGAATTCCACGGCTTCGCTTGGGGAAGCATGATGTGGCCAGTCCGAAGCAGACGGTTCTATCCGATACTACCTCAGGGCGCCGTGTGCTTTAAACTGGTACCAGGGGATCGTTACGTATTGCAGACAGCGTGCACGAGTCTCGAGTTCCCGACGTCAGGCATTGGTAGACGAAGAAGCGCATCTCCTCTTCGAGGGAATGACCTTGCTCAGCGACGTCTGGGTGGAGATGTGCCTGGATCTGGTAGCTTGATTGCATGTAAATTACTGCGGCCTAATCTGACGAACGGTCTGATACTGATGTGATGTGTGAGTTCGGACTTGCATCTAAGCAAAGCACCAAAAGCGCGTTGGGGTCCCTCCAAGAGCACACGGCTTTCGCGAACTCGAGCAGCTTCGACCGACGCTTGGACCGCCTCTTGCAGGATGCCCTTGGCCCAACAGGGATGGCCCGTCTCCAGATTGATTCCGACATCGAGCTGCGGGCAGATGTCCCTTCTTCGCATATTCAGCTTTGCATGTGCCCTTAAGATATGTTCTGAGTATGGGATCCGCTCGAAGCTCCAGTCGTGACAATGGCTTTTCAAACACACCGTGGTGAAGCTGTGTGAGTGGGTACTTGGTTTAGAAAGCTGCTCGAGTCTCTGGCTCTCTCCCTGTCTGTCTGTCTGCCTGTCTGTCTGTCTATCCGTCTATCTTCCTGCTTGTCTGCATTCTTGTCTGCACGCGGACGTGTGCCGCGTCGGACAGAAACCAGCCCTGCCAGAATTACACAGGTTTCAACTGATTAAGTATATAAGGCTATATATATATATATGTTGCGGAATGATTTCCACCCCGGAATGCAGCTGGTCCGTGCGGCCACAAAATCACCGCGTACCACATGTTCGCGGCTACTCCGCGAAATCCTTAGTGTTTACCGGCTCTGGCGAACATGGCTATAACTCTGTCCTGGGAAGCGCAGACCCGCGGAATTCCGCGGTCGCACGCGGCTAAGCCGCGAAATCCTAGTTAATATATTGTCCTAGTCGCTCGCGGCTATCCCGCGAAATCCCCGAGCCGCCGCGGCTAGTCCGCGAATATCGACCCGCGCGCGGCTATAATTCCGCGAAATCCCCG